ATGGAATTCACTGCCACAGGAGGTGGCGGCGGCTACAAGCATGGACGGCTTCAAAAAGGAATTAGATAGGATTATGGAGCAGAGGTCCATCAGTGGCTATTAGCCACAAGGTATAGATAGGGACTCTGGGGCAAGTGATGCTCTGTCATCTTGGTGCTTGGGGGGGGGCAACAGTGGGAGGGCTTCTAATGTCCTGGCCCCACTGGTGGACCTCCTGATGGCCCCTGGTATTTCTGGCCACTGTGTGACACAGAGTGTTGGACTGGATGGGCCTTTGGCCTGATCCACCATGGGCTTGTCTTATGTTCTTATGTTCACCGCAGGAACAGTTTCATTAAAAAAAAAGAGGAGAGCCCAAACAGGGTTGGAATGGTGCCATGGGGGGAGGAAGGGCCCTCCCCTCCATGGATTTTCTAGGAGAAGGAGGAGATTGGATTTATACCCCACCTTTCACTAGGGAGTCTCCGAGCGATCTCCTTTCCCTTCCCCTCCCCACAACAGACACCCTGTGAGGTAGGTGGGGCTGAGAGAGCTCTTTCGAGGACTGCTCTTGAGGGACCAGCTCAGAGAAAACTTGTGACTGACCCAAGGTCACACCAGCAGCTGCATGTGGAGGAGTGGGGAATCCAGCCCGGGGGGACATGGCAAGCCTACCCCTTTTCCACATGAATTTTGCTCCCTCTGGGACTACTAGAGAGAGCAAAACACATTGGGGGGAGGTGGGACCCTGAAGCAATAGGGACACACGAGTGACGAAAACGACGGTGTGGAAGTCGTTTCGATCCACTTAGGTGACCGTTTGCAAGTGGGTTTTGCCGTTTCACCTGGTAATATCCAGTTGCAAAGTGCACCGAAAGTGGATGGAAAGTGCGTTATTTAGTGGGTGTTGAAAGCATCCTCTAAGGTCGGTGGAAGAGCCGATCGCTGAAATGCTCAGCTGAAGATTCGGGGGAAGGGATGATGAGTTCGTTGCTGCCCTCTTGTGGTGGGAAAAAACGTCAGATTTAGAAGGCTGTTATGAAGGCAACTGAACTCCCCGCACTCCAGTTTGGTGTAGTGGTTAAGTGTGCGGTCTCTAATCTGGGAGAACCGGGTTTGATTCCCCACTCCTCCACTTGCACCTGCTGATGTGACTTTGGGTCAGTCACAAGCTCTGGCACAGCTGTCCTTGAAAAAGAGCAGTTTGTGTCAGAGCTCTCTCAGCCCCACCCACCTCACAGGGTGTCTGTTGTGGGGAGGGGAAGGGAAAGGAGTTTGTAAGCCGCTCTGAGACTCCAAGTGAAGGGCAGAGTATACATCCAATCTCTTCTTCTTCTTCTTCTTTGATGAGATGGAGAGGAGGAGGAGGAAGAAGAAGAAGAGATTGGATTTATGCCTCGCCCTTCACTACCGGAAGGAGTCTCAGAGCAGCTTACAATCTCCTTTCCCTTCCCCTCCCCACAATGGACACCCTGTGAGGTAGGTGGGGCTGAGAGAACTCTAAGATAAATATGGACAAACACGACCAGTGTTCTCTCTAAGCTGAGTTAGTGTGACCTGGTTCAGTTTTTTAGCCTCCAGCTCACAGATTTTTTTTCTCGGCTCGGGAAGGGTGGCTCCAGAGCAAGCTAATTTATGCAGGAGCCAAATCGCTCACTCAAAACTTTAATGCCAGCAGCTCACAAAGTAGAATTTTTGTTCACGAGACTCCACAGCTTAGAGGGAGTATTGAACACGGTCCAATCAGAAAACAAGTATAAAGACAACAGTCGTGAGAGTCTGACCCACAAATCAAGCAGCCACCAAGACTTGCAAAGAAAAACCTTCCTATGTATTATAATCTGAAGCACTACAACGTCATTAATAAACCATAAGGAAATCCTTGTGCATAGGTGCATCATCAACGTCGTCTCCGGATTATATAACAACTTAAAATACCTTATTTTTTTTCATAACAAGAGGAACATTATTATATTACAGATTCCTTATGACTTGTTGTCAAGCACTTCATGAATACAGAGAGCTTTTGTACGACTCTGTAAGACTGTACCAAGATTTTATACTATTTTCTATTGTTTACATAGTATATACTCTAAAGAATTGTATTTTTGTACACTACAGAATATCTCCTGACGAAGATCCATTATTGGAACGTTGTTATATAATCCAGAGACGATTATGTACCTATGCACAAGGATTTCCTTATCATTTATTAATGCTGTTGTAATGCTTTAGATTATAATACATAGGAAGCTTTTTCTTTGCAAGTCTGGGTGACGGCTTGATTTGTGGGTCAGACTCTCACGACTGTTGTCTTTATACTTATTTGCTGAGAGAGCTCTGACAGAAACTGCTCTTTTTTCAAGAACAGCTCTTATCAGAGCTACGGCTTCCCAAGGTCATCCAGCCAGGTGCAAGTGGAGGAGTGGGGGAATCAAACTCGGTTCTCCCAGATTAGAGTCCGCGCACTTAACCATGACACCGAACTGGTTGCCACCCTCCAGGTGGTGCCTGAAGATCTCTTAGGTTTACGACTGATCTCCCGACTAGTTCCCCCTGGAGAAAATGGCTGCTTTGGAGGGTGGGCTCTATGGCGTTGTGGCCACCGAGGTCCCTCCCAGCGGTCATTTCGTAGAAAAAGAGGTGCAGGAGCTCATAAGCATAATTTATTAGCATCATTTATTTGCATGTGCCACACCCCCTGACATCACCGGAAGTGTGTCAGAAGGCAACACCCACCACTCAGGCTCCACTGGGCTGTTTTGGATTGGTAGCTATGGGGGGGGGGGAAACACGCAGATCTGCCCTCACAGAGGAGGGAGAGCTTGTACCTGAATAAAACGTGGTCTTAAAGGTGCCACTTTACCTGGCTGCTTCTTGCTCCTCGTGGCCCGACTGAGGGCTGCTGGGAGCAGGGGGTGGGGCTTGTTGCATGTGCCCGCCCCCTGGGCTCCTTACTGCCGGAGCTCCGCTCCTGTGCGCTCCCGCAGGAAATGACCCCTGGTCCCTCCCCTCCCCAAGTCCCGCCCTCTCCAGGCTCCTCCCTCATATCGATGGAATTTCCCAGCTCAGAGTTATCAACCTGTTATGTCTGCTGACCGCCACCAGGCACCAGCGACTAATACCTGAGCTTGGTTCTTAGAGACAATAGGGACTAGGATCCTGATACCTCCTGTGGTCACCAATAGGAACTTGGCAGGAAGTTTAAACCCTCCAATAGGACCTGTGGATGGATCAAGGGGACTGTATATAGTTGGCCGGCCGACCAGTATTTGTGGGTTATGTTGTGTATTAGTAAACATGTGCTGAGTATCAGTCCTGATCATTCGATGCATCGAACCCATTACACAACACAACCCTAAAAGCTGCTCAAGCCTCCCCCTTTTGAAGAGGAAACCCCACGATTTTGAGTCGTCTTATTTCTCTTCTGAATCGTGGCCTGTGGGGCTGGGCGCTTCCCCTGTCTGCCCTGCGCCTTGCATGCTTCTCTGTCAGTCATGCGTTTTGTACTGTTGACAGCAGGCGTGAAGTTGACAAAGACCATTCGCAGCTTTGGTCATGCGGGGAACGAAAAACGCCTCAAAAGGCCAGTGTGAAGGCACGCGTCGCTTTATCCCCCACCTTTTAAAAATAGCAACAGTCATCTGAATGCTGGTCTCCTTCCCTCCCCACCAATGCTCCCTCCAAGCTGTGGGTTCTTGTGAGCAAAAATTCTACTTTGTGACCATTGTGAGCGACTGGAGTTGAAGTTGTGAGCGAGCTATTGGGCTGCTGTGTAAATTAGTTGGCTCTGGAGCCCTCCCTTCCTGAGCAAAGACAAAAATGGGTGAGCCAGAGGCTAGAAAATGGTGGACTGGCTCACACCAACACGGCTTAGAGGGAACACTGCTCCCCACCTCCTTCCATTGTCCCCGCCCCTCTACATTCCAGATTATAAGTGTGTACGTAAGGGTCATCAGGTCACAACTAATTGATGGCGAGAACAGCTACCACAGTGAGGGGCTCCCAAGGCAAGGGAGAAGCAGAGGTGGTTGGCCATTGCCTTCCTCTGCAGAGTCTTCCTTGGTGGTCTCCCATCCAAGACTTATGGTGACCCCAGCAAGGGGCTTTCAAGGCAAGGGAGAAGCAGGGGAGGGTTGCCTTTTTGCCTTCCTCTGCAGAGCCTTCCTTGGTGGTCTCCCATCCAAGACTTATGGTGACCCCAGCAAGGGGCTTTCAAGGCAAGGGAGAAGCAGGGGAGGGTTGCCTTTTTGCCTTCCTCTGCAGAGCCTTCCTTGGTGGTCTCCCATCCAAGACTTATGGTGACCCCAGCAAGGGGCTTTCAAGGCAAGGGAGAAGCAGGGGAGGGTTGCCTTTTTGCCTTCCTCTGCAGAGCCTTCCTTGGTGGTCTCCCATCCAAGACTTATGGTGACCCCAGCAAGGGGCTTTCAAGGCAAGGGAGAAGCAGGGGAGGGTTGCCTTTTTGCCTTCCTCTGCAGAGCCTTCCTTGGTGGTCTCCCATCCAAGACTTATGGTGACCCCAGCAAGGGGCTTTCAAGGCAAGGGAGAAGCAGGGGAGGGTTGCCTTTTTGCCTTCCTCTGCAGAGCCTTCCTTGGTGGTCTCCCATCCAAGACTTATGGTGACCCCAGCAAGGGGCTTTCAAGGCAAGGGAGAAGCAGGGGAGGGTTGCCTTTTTGCCTTCCTCTGCAGAGCCTTCCTTGGTGGTCTCCCATCCAAGACTTATGGTGACCCCAGCAAGGGGCTTTCAAGGCAAGGGAGAAGCAGGGGAGGGTTGCCTTTTTGCCTTCCTCTGCAGAGCCTTCCTTGGTGGTCTCCCATCCAAGACTTATGGTGACCCCAGCAAGGGGCTTTCAAGGCAAGGGAGAAGCAGGGGAGGGTTGCCTTTTTGCCTTCCTCTGCAGAGCCTTCCTTGGTGGTCTCCCATCCAAGACTTATGGGAGGCCCAGCAAAGGGCTCTCAAGGTAAGGGAGAAGCAGAGGTGGCTGGCCATTGCTTTCCTCTGCAGAGCCTTGCTTTGCGGTCTCCCTGCCAAATACAGACCCTGCTTAGCTTCCGAGATCTGGCAAGATCAGGCTACACCTCCCTCCCTCCCACCTATACACGCAACACTATAAATCCAGGGACTGTGCACAGCCCTCCTCTCATTTCTGAAGGATTCATAAAAGGGATCATAAAAGCATTACACCAAGGGGGGAGAAATGCAGAGATGGTTTACTACCCACTCTGGCAGTGATAAACAATTCCATAAATGTGCCATAAAATATCCGGGGGGGGGGATATTTTCCAGAATTGTGGATAACACCTGCCCCAAATTTACTTATTTAGATGTGCTGCATTACCCACCTCTTCTGCGAGAAAGGCAGAACCAGAGATGGAAAAAACCTCTCTTTAGAGAGATCTAAAGGTGAACGCTCGCCCTGCCCATTAAGTTATGAAGAGGAATACACATGCAGAATGAGTCTTTGAACATTGCTGAGCATCACACTTCCTGGCAGGGGTCATTTAGTAGAAAAAGAGGTGCAGGAGCTCATTAGCACAACTCATTAGCATAACTTATTTGCATAGGCCACGCCCCCTGGCATCACCGGGAGTGTGTCAGAAGGCAACACCCACCACTCAGGCTCCATTGGACTTTTTTGGATTGCTAGCTATGGGGGGGGACATGCAGATCTGTCCTCACAGAGGAGGGAGAGCTTGTACCTGAATAAAACTTGGTCTTAAAGGTCCCACTGGACTGTCTTGGACCGGGGGCGGGGCGGGGAGGGGGTCTCTGCAGCTTACCTGGCTGCTTCTTGCTCTGACTGAGGGCTGCTGGGAGCAGGGGGTGGGGGCTTGTGGCATGTGCCCGCCCCCTGGGCTCTTTACTGCCGGATCTCTGCTCCTGTGCGCTCCTGCAGGAAATGACCCCTGCTTCCTGGCCCGGATCCCAGATCAGAACTGTGTTGCCGAACAACTGGGCACAGCTGGACTAAGCCCGAGCGGTCCTATCATTATTCTGAACCGAAGTGCACCGATCTCCTAACTCTTGCGCAAATGTTTCTCATGCAGACAGATCTTGGCACCTTACCTTTTGATCTCCGTCTGGAAGGCGTAGGTTTGGTGGGTGGGCTGAGCCGGAGCCATCATCTTGCTGTCCTCGGCGTCAGGAGACTGCAATGCTGGGGTGGGAGGGGGGGAATGTCAAAGCCAAGAGTGAACGTCAAAAGCGTTATCGGCCCGATATGCCCGCACAGCCTCTCCTCCCTAAGGTCCTTCCTGCACTTGGATCTCATCCCTGGTTTTATCAGAGTTCAGCTTGTGACACAATACCTTGCATTTACCCCTGGTTATAACAGCATCCGTTTATCCCGGGACAAGTGTGGGGCAAAACCAGGGTGACCTCAACGTGATATGGAAGGAAAAAAACAACCCGAGATAATTACAGGGGTGAACTCGAGTGTCGTGTAGAATGTAAAAATACCCCGAGATAATTACAGGGGTGAACTCACGTGTAGTGTAGAATGTACGTTCAGGGACAGGGTTGAACCAGGATTCTAGTGCGGAAAGGACCCAAGAAAGAGAGGTTCTCGATGTTTGAAAAAAGCAAAGAACATTTTGCAGGACTTGTCACATCCTGATCATTCCCTGTTTGAACTGCTGCCTTCGGGCAGAAGATATAGGGCAATTAAAGCAAGGACAAATAGATTAAAAAATAGTTTTTACTCGAGAGCTATTATGGCCTTAAATGCTGTATGAAACTGGAATTTGGGTGACATTGGTGGTTTTGAGTTGTTATGTGAACCTTAAGGGAGTTATGGGACAGTAGTGAATGGTGTGTGAGTGTATACGGATATTGTTGTAGATCACCGAAATGATTGCATCTTTAATTTCGTTGTCCTATGTACAATGACAATAAAGTATATTATTTTTATTATTTATTTATTTATTTAAGTGGGTAGCTGTGTTGGTCTGAAACAGCAGAACAACATTTGAATCCGGCGGCTACTTTAAGACCAACGAAGTTTCATTCTGGGTATAAGCTTTTGTGTGCATGCACACGTCTTCAGATACCTTGCATGCACGTGAAAGCTTATACCCAGAATTAAACTTTGTTGAAACGTAAAGGTGCCTCTGTACTCAAACTTTGTTTTATTTAGCTGTTGTGTGGCCGTGGTCCTGGCACTGTAGGACCTGACATTTCGCCAGTAGCTGTGAAAATAAATAGGGCATGGTTTCCAGTCCTGAAAAACACAAAAAGTTCTACATCTGACAATAGCACTACAGATAAGATTACACCCTCCTCAGGAAACAGGAAGCCTCCTCAGGAAACAATCCATATACAAAAGAACCTCCTCAGGAAAGCTCCTCCATTAGCAAGTTCACAGCCTGAGGAACTCCTACAAGATAATGACTCAGCCCTACCCCACCTTCTTGAGTAGATATCAATTACCTGCCTACCATTTTTTTTCTTCTCACCTTGACACAGAGAACCCTCCGTCTTTCTGTGTTATACCTCTGAGGATGCCAGTCACAGCTGCTGGCGAAACGTCAGGTCCTACAAGGCCAAGACCACGGCCATGCAGCCTGGAAAATCTGCAACAGCTAATGAACTCCGGCCGTGAAAGCCTTCGACAACCAGTGTTCCCTCTAAGCTGAGTTAGTGTGAGCTAGCTCACAGTTTTTTAGCCTCCGGCTCACACATTTTTGTCTTAGCTCAGGAAGGGATGGCTCCAGAGCAAACTAATTTATGCAGTAGCCAAATCGCTCGCTCACAACTTTGATGCCAGTAGCTCACAAAGCAGAATTTTTGCTCACAAGACTCCAGAGCTTATAGGGAACATTGTCGACAACATATTTGTTTTATTTATTAAAATCATTTTATACCACCTTTCCACCTGATCCAGGTCCCCAAGGCAGCGAACATACAGATTTAAAATATTTATTACCTAACTTGCTAATGGAACTCAAGGCAGCTGACACAATCAATAAAAAACATAAAACAAAAACACACCGACAAAAACATAAACGGGAGCTGGAGGCAAAAAAAAAGAATCTCAAAACTAACCTTAAGTGACCTAATTCCCTCGTAAACACGGAGTGCCTTCTGTTTTGTTTTGTTTTTTTAATTCAAGGAGGTTTTGCACAATTCTCAGTTTTGATGTGCAAAGCTCCACGGACCTTCTACAAAGGGAAGTGTGACAGACAGCTCAAGACTCTTTCTTCTCAGCTGATGCTAACCAAGCAGATTGCTTACAGCAGCCTGTCACTCAAGGCTCTCTTGAAGAGCCCAAGAGCAACCAATGCGCCGCCAGGCGCAGGCCAAAGGGCCACTGAGATCAGCTGTGGACAGGTTGACTCCCCTCTCCCTGCCCCCTATAGAACCCTCACCAGGACGCTGAACTGCAGGCCGTGGAAGGTCAGCAGTTCGAGACCCGGGTGCCGCATGACGGAGTGAGCTCCCGTCTCTAGTTCCAGCTCCTGCCAACCTAGCAGTTTTAAAGCAAGAAATTGCAAGTGGGAAGGGAACAGCATTCCGTGCGCTTTGGTGTTTAGTCATGCCGGCCACATGACCGCGGAAACTGCTTCGGACAGCGCTGGCTCTTCGGCTTGGAAACGGAGATGAGCACCGCAACCCTAGAGTCGGATTCGACTGGCTTTCGAGCAAGGGAACCTTTACCTTTACGGCACCTCTAAGCGTCTTCAAAAGCGCAGTCCGTCACAGCAAGGAAGCCACGTTGGTGGGAAGGGAACAGCGTTCCGTGCGTCTTGGTGTTTAGTCATGCCGGCCACATGACCACGGAAATGTCTTCAGACAGCGCTGGCTCTTCGGCTTGGAAACGGAGATGAGCACCGCAACCCTAGAGTCGGATTCGACTGGCTTTCGAGCAAGGGAAACCTTTACCTTTACGGCACTTCTAAGTGTCTTCAAAAGCACAGTCCGTCACAGCAAGGAAGCCACATAGTAGTGTAGTAGAATGTGTTCTGAATTAACTTCAAATTAAATTAACTGTGTGGTGGAACAATTTGAGAAACTTTGAACCAGTAAGTATGTATTGAAGAGTGTTAATATGATTTCCCCCCCAATTGTTCACAGTTGGAAGCTTTATCCAATTTTACATTAACGAGTCTATATGTAAAATTTATACCCCGCACTTCACTACCCAAAGGTGTCTCAGAGCGGCTTACAAACTCCTTTCCCTTCCCCTCCCCACAACAGACACCCTGTGAGGTAGGTGGGGCTGAGAGAGCTCTTGACAGAAACTGCTCTTTCAGGAACAGCTGTGCCAGAGCTTGTGACTGACCCAAGGTCACATCAGCAGGTGCAAGTGGAGGAGTGGGGAATCAAACCCGGTTCTCCCAGATTAGAGTCCGCACACTTAACCTCTACACCAAACTGGAAGAGGAGGAGGAGGAGATTGGATTTATATCCCCACCCTTCACACAGGGTCTCAGAGATGCTTACACTCTCCTTCCCCTTCCCACAACAGAAACCCTGTGAGGTAGGTGGGGCTGAGAGAGCTCTGAGAGAACTGCTCTGAGAGAACTGTGACTGACCCAAGGTCACACCAGCAGCTGCATGTGGAGGAGTGGACCCGGTTCCCCCAGATTAGAGTCCGCACTCTTAACCATTAAACCAAACTGGGTCTCTCCGTAGGGGGGGGGGAATCAGAAGGTACACACCACCCCCAAATCTCCGGGAATTTCACAACCTCGAGCTGGCAAACCTCCTTGATCAACTACGGCTGGGACCCAGAAGAACGCAGCCTTGCGTGGGACAGAATCGACTACGCTGAAACAAAGCCCATGGGGCGAGAAGTGGTTTCCCCCAAAGGAGGGTCTTAATCCAGATTTATGCCGCAGGAGAAGTAAGTGTGGCAGCTATCTTGGCTCGGATTAGCTTCCTACCTGTTTGATCCTTTTCGCCGATCCTCACTTCACTCAGGTTAGCCATTCCCGAGCCGAATGGACCAGAGATATGACTCGGGATAATGCCGCTTCAGTGGGCTCGGAGCCTCAAAGCTGATATGATGGCATCACCACTTTCCAGGGAGACGTGATGGAGCTCTTTGTATTCCCCCAAGCTGCAACTGAGCGGACTGAAAATTTAGATATCAGGCCCATAGCTACCACGGGGCCCACGGGGCCCAGCCTCCCTTCCTCGGGCCTTGGCCCCCCTTCCCACTGTTTGACTGTTGGCAAGGAGGACAAGGGCAGCACGATCCACAGCAACGGCACAAGAAGCGACGGAGACGGTGAGGCTAGACTGAGAGATGCTTGCCGCCCAGCCAGCCAGCAGTCGCTAAGCCCAGCCAGGCAAGGCAAGGAGGCAAGCGGGAGCCTTGACTGGCCCTGCCCAAGCTCGCCCGGCTGTGCTCCTGCGTGTCAATGCGCCCACTCACCGCGCCTTTGTGGCCAGCCCGGCTACTGCGTGCCTCGCCTCTTCTGGCCCCGGGAGGGAGCCGAGGGTGGAGATCAGGCTGCCCCTGGAGTGGGGACGCGGGAAAGGGCACGGGGGTTCCTCGGGGAGGAAGGGGGCCAGACGCTGCACAGGGAAGGGCTGCCCTTGCTTGGGGGGAGGGAAGCTGATCCTCCAATTTAATTAACTGGCGGTGGCCCCCTCACACACACACACACACACACACACACACACACCAAAATCCCTAGCTACAGGGCTGGCTTGCCAACTTCCAGGTGGCACCTGGAGATCCCTGCAATTACAATTAATTTCCAGATGACTGAGAGAAGTTCCCTTGGAGAAAATGCCTGCTTTGGAAGGTGGACTCTATGACATTGTACCCTCTTGGGGTCCCCCCTCTCCCCAAACCCTGCCCTCCCCATGGCTCCCCCCACCCCCAAAATCTTCAGGTATTTGCCAACCCAGGACTGGCTACCTGAGTTACAAGGCTGCAGTAACAAGCACACAGCCGGTGGCTCTTATCAGAACTACGGCTTGCCCAAGGTCATCCAGCCAGGTGCAAGTGGAGGAGTGGGGAATCAAACCCGGTTCTCCCAGATTACAGTCCCCGCACTTAACCATGACACCAAACTGACCCTCTACACCCTCTACACCAATACGTATTTTATATTATGATGTGGTTCCTGTGTGTAACTCTGCCATACAATAAAATAAATAATAAACAGATAAATAGTCACTTCCAGAAATAGTCATTCTTCCCCCCCCTACTATTATGCAGGGTTTTTCCTCCCTGCCCCTCTATTTCCTGCCCCACATATTCTGCAGCATTTGTAGCAGTACAGAACTTTGCAAACTCTCTAGGCTTAGTGACTTGAGGGGGGGGGTATGTCACACTGGACACACTGTGCCATGTTTGGAACACCATGTGATTTTTTAAAATATTAATTTTCAGGCACTCCAGGGCACAATGCAGACGGTCCACCGCAAGAGGTGTTGAAGCCTTCCTCTGTGCCATTTCCCCCAACCCAAAAGGACTTAGAGAGCTGCCATTTCCCACACTGGGCTAAAGTTGTGGCCATGCTGTGGGTTTTGTCCCACAGAATTCCCAGCAAATGTCTAGTTTTGCCCTTTGTGAGCAATAACCTTTTATGCAATGGGTGACAGAGGATCTAGTTCATCTTTTTTTGGTCCACAGAAACACTCTACTCAGGCCCATAGCTACCACGGGGCCCACGGGGCCCAGCCTCCCTTCCTCGGGCCTTGGCCCCCCTTCCCTCTGTTTGCCTGTTAGTGGGGAGGACGAGGGCAGCACGATCCACAGCAACGGCGCAAGAAGCGGCGGAGACGGTGAGGCTGGGCTGAGAGATGCTTGCCGCCCAGCCAGCCAGCCAGCAGCCGCTAAGCCCAGCCAGGCAAGGCAAGGAGGCAAGCGGGAGCCTTGACTGGCCTTGCCCAAGCTCGCCCAGCTGTGCTCCTGCGCGTCAATGCGCCCACTCACCGCACATTTGTGGCCAGCCCAGCTACTGCATGCCTCGCCTCTGCTGGCCCCGGGAGGGAGCCGAGGGTGGAGATCAGGCTGCCCCTGGAGTGGGGACGCGACGTTTTGAAGGAGCATTCCGTGTTTACTTAACAGCTACAGCAGCTGATCGTTTTTCAAGTAAACGACAAATTGCTATCTTTTTAAACTGTGTTGGTGAAGAGGCTGTGGCTCTATATGACACCTTTAACTTTTCGGAAGATGGCCCAGAGGATATAGAGGAAATTCTTACACAGTTTAAAGGACATTGTAATCCAAGAAAGAATGTAATTTATGATCGTTACTTGTTTTGGAATCATTGTTGGCAACAAGGCGATAACGTGGAACAATTTGTGACTGACATGTAATGATTGTGGAAGTCTGTTTCTATGTTTCTGAAGAAGTGTACATCTACACAAGCTAGAGACACTAAATCACTCAGTTCTCCCTTACACCCAGAATTGAACTTTGTTGGTCTTGGAGGTGCTAGTGGACTCACACTTAGTTCTCACGTCTGTTTGTTAACTCTTTTGTATGCTAACCTGCTGCCATTCACAGCTCTTACCAACTGCTTTAACCCAATCTCAGCTATTGCCCAATTAGTTATGCATTTTGACTCTAATTAGTCCTTCCTGGTAACTAATACTCACCCCCCCCCCCACACTGTCAGCCTTGA